AGAAGAAGAAGAAGAAGAAGAAGAAGAAGAAGAAGAAGAAGAAGAAGAAGAAGAAGAAGAAGAAGAAGAAGAAGAAGAAGAAGAAAAATGTGGAAAAATTTCTGACAAGGAATTAATTTTACAGTGAAGATATTTTTGCACTAAAGGCAGGTTCCCTAAACATACGTTCAATAAGCATGATGTTGCGAATAGAAAAAAAAATGACAAGACTTCCGTTTAAAAGCGATATTGCCAAAGCTGTAAACTTTTTCAAAGTCTGAAAAAACTGTCAACTGGGATTTTTTGTTAGTTTTTATTGAGGAATTTTCGAGAATACAGTGTGCAGGATTTTGATAAAATCTTCAACTGTTAAGACAAAAATTGATATAAATCAGTGTGCAAAAGTTGGAGAATATATGTTTGATAGTTAAGGACATATTTGACAAGCCATGCTCCACTATAGACTGGTCTCCACATCCCAGTTGCCTCACACACCTTCCTCTCACATCTGCTTTAAGTTTGATCTAGTCATCTATTGACTAGAACCATATTCATACACCTCTTTGAACTCAAACCTACGAGCAGTTCTGAATACAAAATGTATTTCATAAAGAAACATGCTTTAAAAACACGTCTGCTCTTTTTGTTGTTAAGAATGAGGGAATATCAGCTTAGCAGACAAGAAAGAGTAAATCTAGATCTAGATCAAGTTGAGTTCCGAGATTAGAACATGTTGCAACAAGATTTCAAGCTGCAGTTAAGAACATAATAAGGGCTTGGTAGTCAATTAATTTTGATCAACAGAGTGAAAAAAGATCTATCTACGTTTAGCTGCAAAGGAACTTTTGGAACTAAATGGATTTCTATTGTTGAGACGTGTTATGTTTGACTTCGAACGCTCTTTGATTGTTTGTTTTGTTTTTTTATTAGCTTTTCTGTTTTTCTTTATGTTTTGTGTTTTCTTTGCTTTCCTGTTTGGGGGACAACTTTGAATCACTTAGACGTATTATGGTTCTTGAGAAAACAAGACAATGTATCGATTCTGACGGTTTTACCTTGTCCTTGCCCTCAAGAAAAAAGAGCTATTAGAAGGAGCCTTAATTCCAGAACCCGGTAAAGCAAGTTATTTAAGATAGGCAAGATTTGTTTACAGAATGAAGAGGAGAAACTCTATCTGTCATATAGTAGAAGGCTTAAAACTTAAAACTACATGAGGGCCTACTTTGTTTTATGAGCAATGACACAATAATAACAATATTCAGTTACTCTTTATAAGCATCGTACTTTAGAAATAATTGTAAAGAGGAAACGCAGTAACATTAAAATTCGTCATTCAACAAACATGAGGTATATTTTTATGTTTTTAGGCGTCATGCATCCTTGTACAGCGCATCAAATATGCCAGGGTGGGTGGTGAGTGGGTGGTTATGGGTGCTCTAGTGTGGTTTGCTCCCTCTTCCCTGTCGAACATCTATCGTCCATATCTCTCCTCCTTTTTTTCTAAGTATCTTACTGATTTGGAACAGCCCTACAAATCTAGTTAATCGTCGGTGCTCCCATGCAAGGGCCGTAAAACTCTAACCAAGAAATATGAATGTCAGATATTGAACCATCAGGGACGAAAGACTTCCTCTATCTATCTATCTATCTATCTATCTATCTATCTATCTATCTATCTATCTATTGATCGATCTATCTATCTATCTATCTATCTATCTATCTATCTATCTATCTATCTATCTATCTATCTATCTATTTATCTAT